GCACTATCTCCATCATCCTATCACTGTCACCACCATCTCTGTCACCACTACCAGCATCAATATCTTCTTCACTACCACAACCCCCATCATCGCCATTGGTTACTGTCTCCATCATCCTCACCACCACCAGTACCATCACCAGCATCTCCATCATCACCATACCATCACATCATCACCATCACCACCATCTTCATCGTCATCCTTGCCACCACCATCACCATTAACATCTCCATCATCATATCGCCACCATCCCCATGACTACCATCGCCGCCTTGATCACCGTTATCAGTACCATCTCCTTCACTATCACCACCATCACAATCATCTTAATCAACACCACCACAAATACCATCATCACCATCAATTGCCATCTCCATCATCATCACGACCATCTCCATCACCTTCTCCATCACCATCTCCATCATCATCACCACCATCTCCATCACCATCTCCATCACCATCACCACCATCTCCATCACCATCTCCACCATCTCCATCACCATCTCCATCATCATCACCATCACCACCATCTCAGGACCAGCAGTTAGCGTAATGGCTATGTCACTGGACTCCCATGTAGTCAACTGCGGTTTGCGTCCCGGACCCGGTGGCTTAAAACTCACGCCGGGCACATAAGCGTGCGAGCCCAAGATCCCGAGAGAATGGAGGAGAAGGGATTGCAGCGTGGCCATCCCCCCTGTCTCCATCACCATCACTATCACCACCAACTCTATCACCAGCACCACCACCTCCATGAGCAGCAGAACTACCATTATCATCATCATCACAGGGCAGGGCCCCTTGGGTCCCTCTGGTAGGTCTCATTTTCAGTTCTTTGAAGTGGCAGGTGGAGAATCAGAATGAAGATGCAGGCCCCCATGGAACTGTGCCACCTGCCCCACTCCAGAACCTCTCCTGCTCATGAGGGTGTTGGCCCATTGCTGGGCTGCTAGATGCAAACTCCTGAGGCTGGCTGATTTGTGATTGATTTGGCTCAAGTCTGGTGAATGAAAATCCCAGAAGTATGAGCCAGCATCTGGCTGGCCCCTGGTGCTATGTCACAACATGGCCAATAGAAGCAGAGGGCAGGTGCAAGCGAGAGAGGCATGCAACCATCTGACGCTCAACTCTCGCGCGGGAGCTAACCTACTCCGGAAGAGGGAGAATTCCCTTCCTCCCACAAGATTCATTAACCTATTCATGAGGGCGGTGCCCCAGTACCCAAACACCGCCCACTAACCCCACCATTTCTGAAGGTCCTACCACTTTTCTTTCTTTCTTTCTTTCTTTTTTTTTTTTTTTTGAGAGATTTTTGCTATAGGGTGCGTGTGCTCGCCAGACAGAGAGAGAGAGACAGAGAGACAGAAAGCAGGAAATCACTCCCCAGGGGGGATGGCCATACCGCAATCCCTTCTCTTCCATTCTCCTCTCGGGATCTTGGGCACGCACGCACACGCACCCAGCGTGAGTTTAAGCCACCGGGTCCGGGACTTGAACCGCAGTTGACTACATGGGAGTCCAGCGACATAGCCATTATGCTAACTGCTGGCCCCAAGGTCCTACCACTTTTCAACACCACTGGGGACCTTGCTTCCAGCATGCTCCCAGCACGGGGGCCTTGGAGGACAGACCACGAATCCGAGCCCTAGTGGAGAGCCCACGTGCTGAGGGTAAGAGGGACAGAGACAGGTGGGCTGAGCTCCAAGTTGAGTGGTGAAGCAAGGGACTCAGGGACAGATTAGCTGGGTGATATGGATTCCTAATCCCACATGAAGACACCTCTCCATGCCACAGAAGCCCCCATCTGCCCAAAGATTAGATTCTATTTCAAGAGCTCAAAGACCAAGCAGCCCACAGAAAGGTCTGCTTCTAGCTTAGCACCGTCTTTGCTCAAGTGCAGATCCCCAGGGGTTACAGACTGGAGGTGCTGCTCTGCCTTGGACCAGACCCTCCCGAGGGTCATCACCATCTTCAGACAACTCTCAGGTTTGCCAAGGCCACGTCCACGTGCCTGTCCATACAGGGCATGTGTACATGTCCATGGCATCTGTGTACAAGTGCTGGTGCATGCATACGTGCATGTGTGCTTTGTTCTACTGTGTGTACCTGTGCATTGGGTTCAGAGGTAGCTACAGGGTAGCCCTCTGGACTCCCAGGACACTCAGTGCCCTCCCGCCAGGCAGCTGTGCCCCACCAACCCCTCCCCCCGCTCCACTCTCAGCTTGCCATCTATTTCTGGTGGGCTTCCCTGACTGTACCGAGGGCAGGTATCAGAACGTTTCTGAATAGTTGAACACACGAAGGCCAGGAAGGCCTTTGCTTATGGGAGAACAAGATTTTCTTTTCTCTGAAACTGTTCTTCCCTACAAAGAAAAGAGCAATAATCCAAACGATTCCTTAAGATGAGTATAAAACCATGGCAAGAGAACTTGAAGAGGACCCTTAATAAATGTATGAATCAGATCAATGGCCATGTGGGTGGGGTTTTTGTCTGTCTTCCTATGAGTGGTGTGTCTGTCCTTTCAGCACACTGTATGAACTACCCACTGTGTCCTTTTGCATACAGGGTCACCTCCAGAATAAATATTTAATCATGCACAGTCAAAACCATGGACTATCAGAGCTTGAAGGAGCTACAAAAACTTCAATTTTAACTTTTTTCGATTATTCCCTTTATCAATTTATCCCTCAAGTTATATTTTACAGATAAAGACAGGGAGATGGGACTATTGCCTTGTCAGTATATATCTAAGTTAGGACTCTAAACCAGATTCATGAATTTCTAATCCTCTGCTCTTCCTGTGGGAGAAGTGGGAAGAGTTTGCATGGACTCCTAACACCATAAACCTAAGCCTATATTTCCATTCCTGGGTGTGAGCTCCCCTTGCCCCTCCCCCAGGCACCCCTCCAGCCCTCAGTGATGGTTACTGACCTGGCAAGGACCAGTCCCGTCGTCCAGTGGTAATGCAGGTCTATCCCCTTTCCCAACAGCCTGCGGCACTCCAGGCCAGGCTCCGTCGGGGGATCTGTCCAGGTCTTCCCCCAGCCGGGACAGAGGCAAAAGCAGAGCCAACTTCAGGCCGCCAGGACAGCCCAGCCTGGAATGGACAGCCCTAAGGCCACCTGCTTCCTACACTGCCCAGGTCACAGCACCCGCAGCAAGGCCAGATGGGCAAGTTTGTCTTGTGGGTGACACTAACGCTCTTGTCTGTCCCAGCACCCTGGGCACCCACCTGCACGTCACAGTGGGCGTCAACTACATGGCCAGGCTCTGACATCGGGAAGGCCTCAGCACAGGCTGCACGCCCACCTCTCAAGTGTGGGACCGATGCAGAGCCTGCTGGGGTAGGAGAGCTCCCCAGAAGCAGACAGGACCAGACCTAGGGGCAGCGCAAGCACTGAGCAGAGGTGCAGCCCCACCCGAGCTCTCTGGGGTAGCTCCAGACCCCTGGAGCCTCTGACCCAGCTACACGGAGTTCCACTCAGATCAGAGCCAGACTCTTGCCCCTCCCTGCCTCCAGACCCAGCTGCCCTGCTGCCCACTGCTCCCTGGGCTCTGCAGCCAAGGCCCAACTCTCCACTACCCACCCCACTGACCATGGAGCTGGGTCTGCACTGGGCCTCTCATCTCCATGCAGAAGGCACTGGTCGCCGGCCCCAGCTCCCAGCCCAAGTCAGTGCATGTGGGAGGGGTGGCGGGAAAAAGCTGCTGTGGGCCCTGGGGGCAGGATGGGAACCGCCATCACCTGGCAGTCCGCACTGACCATGGCGCCCTCAGCCCCACCCCGCACACCGCCTGGCTCCTCACTGCAGCCATGACCCAGCAGGGCTTGGGAGATGGAGGACCACGGCCCCGCCCTGGGCTTGGAGGAAGCCTTCAGGATTGGTGATGTCTACAAGCTGGTGGCAACTACGGGCAGCGGCTCCCAGCCCCTCGCGGTGACCACAGCCCCTCCCACGACCCAGGCCCCTTCCCTCTCCCTGCACCACTCACAGCCTACGCTAACAGCCAGGGGTCAGGTCCTGCAAGGAGCACACGGGTCGCAGACATACAAGAGCCAGCAGGCAGACACGAGGCCGGTAAATGCGCTTTCTACAGGACAGCTGTGGAAGTGCCTAGAGCCGCAGGTGGGGGCGGCAGCAGCAGGCAGCCCCGTGCTCTGCCCTGCAGAGCGTCTGCCTGGAAAGGCGCGGGGATTTCTGGGCTGTGCTGACACTCCGTGGGGCCATCTTACCTCAGACTTGTCGAGGTTGCAGTGTACGCTTGGGTCTGGGGACTCTGTCACCTGTCCATCTTACCCAGAACCATAGCATGCACTGAACCGCCCGACCTGTGTGCCGACTTACGGCAGTGACACCTGCACTCTGACACGGGGACAGGGAGTGGGTGGCCAAGGGCCGTGGAGTGGCAGGACTATTTGCCCCATCGGCACCGACTTGCCCATCTGCAAATCTTACCGAACGCCAGGGACCACGAATGCTGTTACATTCAACCAGGTCTTTTAAAAAGCTCCTCTGGGAACCAGCAGTTAGCGTAATGGCTATGTCGCTGGACTCCCATGTAGTCGACCGCGGTTCGTGTCCCGGACCCGGTGGCTTAAAACTCACGCCGGGCGCGTGTGCGTGCGTGCCCAAGATCCCGAGAGGAGAATGGAGGAGAAGGGATTGCGGCGTGACCATCCCCCCTGGGGGGTGATTTCTCGCTTTCTGTCTCTGTGTCTCTCTCTGTCTGTCTGGCGAGTGCACGCGCCCTACAGTGAAAATCTCTCCAAAAAAAAAAAAAGCTCCTCTATCCTTTCGACAGAACATAATGAGGGGCCCGTGGAGAGGTTAGTTGTTCACAGTCCTAAGCAATCAGCCCTCCTCCAGACATAAGGGAGGAGACCCTCAGACCTCTGGGCACACGCTCCCGGCTTTGCTGGCAGTGACCCGTGAGCTGGCTCTGCAGTGTGACACACACCTCAGCCTTCAGGCCCAGGCGACAGACGAGTGACGCAAGGCTTGCTAAACAGTGGCTGTTTATTAAGGCTTGTATTCTCCTGGAGAAAAGTCATCCCATATCGTCGGAGACCCCGCACGGGCAGGAGTGGCGAGCGTGCCGTCTAACAGAAGTCCAAGGGGTACAGCTGTGCAGACTCAGAGGGCCTTCAGGGTGCGGGTTTCAAAAGCCATGTGCTGTCCACGGCAGCAGAGACCCTCATGAGGCGAGGTGCGGCCCGGCATGCGGGTCAGCAGCACTGCGGCCACGCTCCGTCGCCACTCCGGGCGCTGGCAAGCTCCTCCACAGTCCCTCGGTCACAAACCACATGGCAAATTCATTTTCTAAAAGTTTTTTTTGCCTTTTTTACCCATTTGACAGGAAAACAGAAGAGACACACGTGGTGGAACTAAGCGCAGGGCACCGTCACTGCACGCACCCTCGGGTGCTGCGTGGACAGCGGGCATCGCTGCTGTCACAACGGCGGGGGCTCTCCCAGCAGGGAGAGGCAGAAACAGTCTGCGACGAGCCCCCGGAACCCATCACGTCACCCTGTGGTCACCCGGCAGGTTGCTCAGCATGGCACGCCATGGGAAGGCAGCTTTGCTGAGGGACAGACATGTCCTCAAGGCTGAGACACTTCGTTTATCCTTCTGCCTCGTAGAAAACCTGGGTGGGCAGATGAGCGATCGAGACGGAAGACACAGATGTTAAAAACGGCAGGCTGGCTGAGCTGGAGGGCCTCTCGACGGCAGGGGTTTGGAGCGATTTAACGGAGTGATCGGAATGATGGACTAACTGGGGCTCCTTGATCCGCACCAAAGGGGCGAGCCCATGGCTGTGGGCGCCCGAGTGAGCACGTGACTCCCTCCGAGGGAAGAGCCTCTGACGTGCCGGGGTCTCCTTCTCAGGGCACTTACATTCCACATTAGGTCAGTCTGATAAGCTGACAAAAAATACTCCTTTATTAGTGAGTTCTACAATATTATAATACAAAGAAAAATACAAACGAGCACAGATCTGTCTGGGCGAAAATAAACTACAAAAAAGGTGAAGATGCAAGAAGCCGACCCCGCACAGGACGACAGGCTGGCGTGGCGCGGGGCAGCACCGAGCACGCGCGGAGCTCTGCTCTTCAGTCCAGCGAGAACCTGCCCCCGAGCGTCCTCACTGTTTGCTCCGATTCTGCCGTTCCTGTGGAGAGAAAGGAGAGCTGAGCGCCAAGCAAGCAGGCCACCCAGGAGCAGGCCGGCGGGTCTGCAGCTGCCCTGACTCAGCCCCGGCTCATGCCCACCGTCCACGCGGCAGCCCGGCACTCTGCCCTGCTCCCTCCCAAGAGCCCTCTCTACAAGCAGAGAAGCGACAGCTGCTCCAGTTCCGTGGGTCGCCTGCCTGCTGGGAGACCTCGCTGCCCTGTTCCCAGCTTCCCCTAACATGTCTGCCGTTCTCCAGGGAAACACACAGTCACCGTGCCCAGGAGAGCACGAGTGTGCACTGGGTATGTGCGCATGCGGGCACCGGCCAGCTGCTCTGCCGTGTCTACCTTGGGCACAGAGGAAGGGCTGGGAGCCCACGGGGAGTTCAGGCCCTTCCTGTGCTTGACGCTCTGAAGACCAGACAGAGCCACAGTCCCCAGCAGTTCTGCCTGAGTCCTGGCCAGGAACCCCCAGCCAAGGCTACTCCCCATTCCACACAAGATGGGAGTATTTTCCAACACCCCAGCTCAGGACGTACACCTAAATCTCATCCCACACTTGCCCACTGGGCTTCTAGAAGTGAGGTCCAGACCATCTCCCTCTCTCCTACAACGCATCAACTGTGTGTGCAAACACACCTCAAGGAGCACCCCACACTCCTCAGTCCGCGGCACCCCTGGGGCGTGCACTCTCACTTGGCAGCCTCTCCTACCCAGCCTGCAAGCTGGCAGCAAGGCCTGCCAAGCAGAAGGCCCAACGCTCACGGGGAGCCTCCATTGCCCAAAGAGGACCTGAGTGCCTTGGACTAACAACGGCACTTCTCATACCTCGCTGGTGCTGGGCCAACGCACCTCACGATCCGGGAGGCTCTCAGCCCTGGCTGTGCTTCACAGGGACCTATGGTTTGGTGCCCTGTCCCCAAGGTACGAGAAGGTTCTAGAACCTGGATCAGCGAGCTGGACAGGCAGCCTCTACTCTAAGGATTACCATTTCTTTCCTACCCCAAAATATAAGCACTGGAAAAATGAACAACTATCAGGTCGTTGAAAAAATCATGATGTGTTTTGCATAAAAAAACATGTCATGACTCTCCCAATAATCCAATATATTCTGCACTCCGTTAAACATTTTCCTTTAACAATCTCTCCAAAAGGGGGTACTGCCACTTCCAGGGAGCAGAGGCCCACCGCTCTGCTGAGTTCAGACGGCACTGTCAGAGCCCCTCCGTGGGCAGCTCTGCAGAGCTATCTCCCTTTGGCCCTTACAAATAGCCACGAAGTTCACCATGTGCTCTTCCCAAAGATACTGCTACTCACGAGACCTCTCCAAAGAAAAAAGAAAGCGGATCAAGAACAGCTGGTCCGCTGGTCCGCTCTAGACACACCCCAAGGACCCAGCTCCAGCCAGCCTCGCCCTCTGCACCTCCCACTCTGAGCCAGGCCAGGGTGTAGCTAGATGCATGCCATGGAACTCACGCTGGCTTAAGCACCCTGGAAGAGGCCACTTACTGACTTAACCCAAAGTCATCAACTCAAGAGCTGGGCTTGACACCTGTTACCATACAACCTGGTGCTTCCTTAAGAAATCAGCTCCTCAGGGCCGGCAGGTAGCATGGTGGTTAAGGACGCTGGGCTCCACATGGCCGACCACAGTTCAAATCCTGGACCTGGCAGCTTGCTTTCTCACTTTCCCCCTCTTTCTCGTTCTGTCCCTCCCTGGTCAAATTAAAATAAATTAAATTTTTAAAAAATCAGCCCCTTGCAAATGTTCCCTGAACACCACTCTCACTTCATCCCAAAGCACAAGGCATTCCCTTTGTCTCGATCGTCTGAAATTGATGGGGTCTGAGTAACAAGCCATGGTGGTCTGCTCTCTGGTGTCCTGAGACCTCGAGAAACTGCCCAGCAGCTGCACAGCAGGTAAGTGCTCCACAGGACAGGCAGGGAGGGGCCCCTTCTGACTCTCCTCACCTTGCCCTTCAGCCCAGTGCACCCCTTCCTGGAAACCCAGGGGCAATACATGCCAGAAGCCAGAGCACCCGAGGCCCAAACTCCCGACTGAGCTGGCCAGCCCCTGCCCCAGGCCGCCCAGGAACTGCCTGTCACCGACCCATCCCCAGGGGCCACGCCACCTGTGCCTGCCCCGGCCGCTGCTGCTCGGGTCACCTGCTGTGAGCACGCGACGCCCCGCTCACCTTGCGCACCACCTCCTCCTCCTCCTGGCGCTTCTCGTAGTGAGAAAAATCATCGAAGATGGAGGTCGTGTGCTTATAGGACGCGATGATCTTCAGCACTTGCTTTGCTTTCTCCAAGGGCACCTCCTGCGTGTCTCGGGAGTTGGTGACCGGTTTATTGTCGTTATTCTCCAGCCTGATGTGCCGGAGCTGGTTATTGGGCACATCCTTGACGAAAATCCACTTCACGTCGAACTTCCCCTTCCACTTGTCCTGAGACCAGACCCCGGCACTGGTGCCGTAGTCCACGGGCGACTTCATCTCGGCCAGCCCGCAGAAGTGGCCACTGCCGTTGACGCTGAAGAGCAGGTAGACAGGCCCCCTGCTGCCCAGGGAGCGGAAGGCACCGTCCAGGCGCTTGTTGCCGTGCTCCGTGCTGCACCAGATGCTGTACTTGATGGAGCGGTGCACGTCGTCCTCCGAGTAGCTCTTGATGATGAACACGCGCCCACTCTTCAGGTTCCAGTCGAACTCCCTGGGGTTGTAGCTGTGGGCGGCTCTCAGTTTCTCGAGGACGGGGTGGGAGTCTACGCCTGGGCCAGCACTAGGCAAGGCGTTCCCGGGAGAGTGACTGTCACTGCCTGCCCCCCCGCTCTGCCCGGACGCCGCATTTCTGTTGCGAGGGGCAACCCAGCGGGTCTGGGGCGGCTGCTGAGGGTTCTGATACTGCGGTTGGGCCACGGGGGGAGGCTGGGCTGGGAGGGGCTGCACCACTTGCTGGGGCACTGGGGTACTCTGGGGGGCTGGCACCTGCTGGGGGGCCTTGGGCATTGGCCCCTTATCCCAGGTGCCGATGTCCATGTTGTGCTTTATGGGCGGGGGGGGCAGTGCACCCCCGAGCACAGGCCCACTCTTGGTTCTCATTTTCGGCTGTGGCTTTGCAGGCTTTTTTGGTCACGCAGCGCGCGAAGTTGGTTTTGAAACAGGCATGCTGACATTTGTCCCACCATTGCCAGAAAGGACGGCAGTCAGTGCCACACTGTTGACAACGGAACCCACCGTCTTGACTGCAGAGGTGGTGACGTCCCCAATCTTCAGGCCCACCATGCCCTGCTCCAAGCTGTTCACCCCAGGGGCCTTGTTGAGAGCGTCACCGTGAAAGCCCGCCTGCCCGTCGACCACTGTGCCGCCCAGGGAGCTCGGTGGGTAAGTGTAGCTGCTTCCGTACGCAGAGCTCTGGGCCTGCCCTCCCTGAGAGCCGCCTGTGCCCCACGCTGAGAACGCAGGGCTCTCGGGGAAGAAGCTGAACCTGTGCTGGTAGAGGTTGCCCCCCAGGCCCCCAGGCTGCCCGAAAACAGCATCGTGCACGAAGGGGTGGTCTCCGTTACTGAGCTGTCCGTAGGTGGTGAGGTACGGAAGTGGGGGGTCCCCTGCAGTAGACCATGGAGCCTCGTTGAGGGAGTAGGGGAATCCAATGGACGGTGGGTAGTAGCTGGACAGGTAGGGGTCGCCCATGGAGGGGTAACTGTTACTCTGCAGAGACAAGCGTGTAACAGGTTAGACCGCCTCTTGACGGAGGGTGCCAACCAACGCATCCTTGAGCATAGGCTGAACAGGACTGGCTGGGTACAGGGCTGGGCTCCTCCTTCCAGAAGAAAGCGGGGCTGCCAACATGGGACGATCCACCGCCTCGCCTGCACCACCTGAGCCCTAGCTGCCCTGAGCTGAGCCTCCTAGGCCTGGCTGGGCAGTGAGCCCTTCCCCCGCTCTCACCGTTCAGGAGTGGCCATCCAAGTCGGGCTGGAAATCAACCCCTTCCTGTTGGCTGTCGTGCTCACGACTGACACTGACCCAAAGCGGAAAAGGAGAACAGCCTTTTTTTTTTTTTTTTCCAAGAATTATTTACTTTTTATTCATTCACTCATTTTAATTTGACAAGAGAGAGAACACGTGAGAAAGTCAACCCACCAGGTATGGGACCTAAACCCTGGTCAGCCCTGTGGGAGTGCCCGGCGCCTTAACCACACACCACCTGCTGGTCAGTCCCCCAGGAGAACAGCCCTTAAAGGGCAGGGAGCAATTCCTCCCAGCAAACCTTTAGGCCTTTAGGGTTACAAGGTGGTTCCTTGCAGCAGATGGAACTCAAGCTCACTGACTGCTGGCCGGCCCAGCCCAGGCCTTCCCTCTGAGGGCTGGCACCCCTTCTGGAAAGCTTCTAAGCACTGCCCAGGACTGCTGCGAGCCCTCCCCACCTTCTCCAGGTGGGCCCTGCTGTCTGGCGTGGCCTGGCTGCCTGGAGGCCCAAGGCTGGCTGCAGCCCCTCACCCATGAGGACACCTCCCAGACATGGGGACTCTGCTCTCTCGGCACTGGGACCCCCGGGTGGGCATCGACTTTGCCAGGCCTGTGTGACGGCTAGAACCTCAGAGAGCCGTCGCGAGGTAGCTGGACCATGAGGCACCGGGCCTGGAGATAATATGATCTTGCTGCAGCTCAGGGTCCAGAAAAGCTGCCCAGTGTGGATTTAGACTCAGGGTCAGCAGTTCTGAGACAACCACCCAAGCACCTGGTAAGACCTGGGGCTGCGCCCCCATGTTGCTGCCTGAAACAGTACAATCGCCCTCCTGGGGCGGGGAGGGGGGAGGAGGGAGGCGTGCCGGCATGAGCGGCAGGTGGGCACGGACAGGTGTGAGCGATGTGTGGGCATGAGCGGCACGTGGGTAGTGGCCCAGCATGGCAAGAAGGTTCTCTCGCCCAGAGCCCAGAGTAAGAGAAAGAAAGCTGCTGAGAACACTGTGTAGTGGTCCACGGTCACCTTTCCAGTGTGTCGCCCCTGCCTCACTTTAAATCATCCCGAACTCCTCCCAAGTTGCCCAAGTACCTAGAAACTGCACAGAGAGAGCCTGGCTAGAGACCTGCCACCATGGAGAGAGAAGCCCCTCCCCCCATGTAATCCCTGGGAGGGGTGCAAGACTGTCCTGGGCAGGAGGCAGAGTCCTGGGTGCAGTGAGGGCATGCAAGAGGGAGGGGCCGAGGCAGGGGAGGGCTGGGGTGGCGGCTCAGGCAGCGACCTGTCCGTGGACGGGGCATCCATGCTGACCAGCTCTCCCTGGTCCCATCCTGCTTTGGGGGCTCAGGAATGCAAATACTGACCGCCTGCCTATTAGCCACACCACTGGTCAGCAGACCAATCCAGGCTCGTCTTTTGAAATTAAGTAACACCTGCTTCCTTGTAATGAAAACCTTTCAGATTCTCAGAGAATAAAATACAACAAACAAACAAACAAACAAACAAAAAACAAATGAAGCCTGGGACACCAGCACTGTCCTGGGGATGCAAGACTGCCACTCTCCCCTGGGCAGGGGTCAGAGGCTCTGGCTCCTTCGCAGCCACCTGCCCCACCCTCAGCATGTTCAGTGGGGAGATATGCGCAGATGTGCCCGCGGACGGTCCTCCCGAAGGGACACAGCTGCTCCACACTCTCAGCAGCACCACAGCTCACCGACACGTCCTCCCTCCCACGGAGCAGGGGTGGGACAGGGAAGGCGTGACTGGCTGCGTGGCATTCTGACCCACATGGCCACAAAACCAACCAGAGCCAACAGGAGAGAGGCCACAGAAAGAGATGCCATGGCACATGCATATCTCAACCCTCAGCCCAGAGCAGACACGAGCCAGGACAGGCAGTGGCGGGTGGCGCAGCAAGCGTTACTGCTAATGGACACACCTAGCACGTGGGCCCATGAGTGCCACCAGGCAGCCCGTTGCCCGCCCCACACTCTGGGCTGTCTCCAGCTGGAGCTGGATGGAGGGCAGGAGGAAGCTGCTCTGCAGCACCCTTGAAACCAGCCCTCCCCGATTTGGAAGCCGAGTAACCCCCCACTGCACACCCTGGGGTCCCTGCTCCTTCAGGGCTGATGCCAAGACCCCAGCCACCTCAGCCTGCACAACCACAGCACCCCAGAAAGCAACAGCAGGGCCTGTCGGGACCGTGCAGGGAGGAAAGGCCGAGGCAGGAGCATCTGGAAGAAGAAACCGGGCACCCCAGGTGGCAGAGCCTTGGAGGGCCCCAGGGCCCATGTCGGGGCTCAGATTTGAGGTGGGGGTGTCACTAGGAAATAAGCAACAGCAGAGCTGCAGCTTTCTGAGGAAGGGGGATGTGCAACTGTGCTGGCTACCTGAATCTACTAGATCTTCTCCAGAAACTTGAACTCATACAACCAAAGGGCAAATACAGCCCCACTCCACACCCCCAGGTAACGGGCTGCAGTGTGCCAAGACCCGTCAGCTGGGGCACACGGGGCGAGCCTCCCAGTGGCTCCTAGCCCTACTACGTCACAGCGCCCTGGCCACTGTCGGCGCTCCCTCCTTCCTAGGGTCCACAGGGCAGTGACTGAGGTGCTGTGGCCCGATTCCATTCTTTATCCCACCTCAATGATGGCCTGTTTTCTGGTATTTTCTGGCATATTTCCTGCAAAACTCTAAAACTGAAGAGGCAAGATACCTCGAAGTCTCTGAAGCGTGCCACTGTGGGCATCAGAGCGCCCAGGGCACTCCACACAGGGGCTGGGCTGGCTGCTCTGGGCTTAACCAACGGTGACTCTTCTAACTGAGGACCGAAGTGCAGGGTCGGGCTGCCTGGTGGACATCGCCCCTCCCAGAGCCTGCAGCCTCCTCCTGCCTGTGCTTAGCAGGGTGCGGCTGCGAGCTCGCCCATTGGCTGGTGCTCTGGACGAGACATGCTGTGAGCCAAGCCCCCCTCAGACCTGCGACCCCACTTCTGCAGCCTCTCAGCCCTGCAGCCCCCAGCCCTGTAGTCCCACAGCCCCTCAGCCCCGCGGGCACTTAGAGACGCACGTGCAGGTCTTGGTCCAGGGAGGCCCCCAGAGGAGAAGAGATGCCAAGCTCTCTTGCCGGAAAGGCCTCCGAAGAGGCTAGAGGCATGGAGGTTATGGTGGCCGGATGCTGCATGGCCAACTATACAGTTCAGCCCGGACTGGGGCTTGAAAAACATGCTGAGTGCATGTCCATGTGCACCTAAAACCCTGAGAGGAGAATGGAGGAGAGAGGACTGTGGTGTGGTCACCCTGGGAGGTGTCTCTCTCTCTGGTAAGAGCACTTGCCCTGTAGCCAGTCAGCCATCCTCTGAGCAAGTGTGCTTGCTCCGGGTAAACTGGCAGCAGAGAGCAGTCCCTCTGTGGACTGTCAGGCGACAACACCCCTCCGCGCCTGCACTGCCCTCCCCGAGGCCACTGACCGCTTCTACACGACTCCTGGGTGCAGCCGAGGCCCTGCCAGTGCTAACGATAGCAGCTGACACCCTACGAGGTGTACGAGTCCACTGACGGAGGGAAGTACAGATGGGGACCCAGCGCTGTGCCCGGTGACCAACTCGAAGACGGACGACCCGCATAACGACATTTGAAATAACCAGTAACCACGGTCCTTAGATTACTTGAATCCAACGGTAAGACACCAAACAGTAGGAACCAAACAGGAGAACATGGGAGAGCTGAAATCTGCTCCAGAGTTAAAAGTGGTGTTGCCGTGACCAGCAGTTAGCGTAATGGCTATGTCACTGGACTCCCATGTACTCGGCCGCGGTTCAAGTCCCAGACCCGGTGGCTTAAACTCACGCCGGGCGCATGTGTGTGTGTGTGTCCAAGATCCTAAGAGGAGAATGGAGGAGAAGGGATTGCGGTGTGGCCATCCCCCATGGGGGGTGATTTCTCTCTTTCTGTCTCTATGTCTCTCTCTGTCTTTCTGGCGAGCACACGCGTCCTACAGCAAAAACTAATAAAAAATAAAAAAAAAAAAAGAAGAACAAGAAGAGTGGTGTTCCCACTTACTCAGTCACCCACAAGGAAAGAGAAAGAAGGTCTCCCACTCTCAACAACCAGAACTGGTTAGGTGGCACTGTCCCGAGCTGCTCTGAGGAAAGCCTTCCGCCAACGACAAAGTGCCTCAGGGGAGAACAAGGGCCACCTGGAGTGCGAGAGGCAGCCTCACAGAACAGAGCACGCTTGTCACCGTTCCACCGCATCCCACTAGGCTCAGTGCTGACAAGCCTCAGAGCGATGGGCTCCTGGGGACCGGAGCGCAGCCAGAGCTGGGTCTGCAGCAGCAGCCATGAGGAGCATGGCGGAAAGGTCAGGGAAGTGCCCGCCCTGACTGGACCCCTTGGCCACTCACTCCCTGACCGATCTGCTCTCTGGCCCACCTGGGCCGCAGCCCCTTGGCCGCGGGGGCCGCGCACTCACCTCACAGCACACCAGGAAAGGCCTGCCAGGGTCTCCGCATCCTTCCGGCTGCACTCAGGAAAGCAGTCACGCGGGCAGAGGCCCATGCATGGTCATCAACATGGGTATTCTCAGGGCCACGAGAAACCCAGGCCAGCCATGTCCTGGGGGACCAAGAGCTGTCCGGCGACCCTCCAGCCTTTGTTCGCGGGTCGTCCGTCTTTGAGTTGGTCACCGGGCGCAGCGCCGGGTCCCCAGCTGTACTTCCCTCCATCGGTGGACTCATACGCCTTGAAGGGTGTCGGCTGTTGTCGTTAGGGCTTCGGCAGGGCCTCGGCTGCGCTCAGGAGCCCATGTGAAAGCGGTCAGTGGCCTCTGGGTGGGCAGTGCAGGCGCGGAGAGGTGCTGTCACCTGACAGTCCACAGAGGGACTGTTCAGACCTGCCCAGACTCAGCAAAAGGCCACATGCAACCAACCCCTTATACACCTAGATAAGACGTCTGTGCCGCTGGGTGAAAAACCACCCAAACCTGCCATCGGCCCTGGGCAAGAGGGCAGGGTCATCCTCAGTTGAGCCTGCCTCCCGGGCCTGAAGTACTCGCGAAGCCAGCATCCTGCAGATGATGTGCGAACGCCACCCGCTTTACCGCACGAACAGTGCGTGACTACGTGCACACGGGGACTTCAGGTGCGCCACCAGATCTTCGACCTCCCCCAGCATGGCCAGTGATTATTTAAACTCGGCTCAGTCCTCACATAGAGGATCAGATGGACAGTGTGGCTTTCTGAGAGCCCAGAACAGACTCAGGCTGATGAGAATGACCAGCACCGGGACGCCAGGCAGGAAACTGACGGACTGCCCTCGGAGAGCACAAGCCCGCTGGTTCTGAGCACACACCTATGTCAAGTCTGCCTCTGCTGCTCCGTGCCCTTCAGATGTGACCAGGCAGCTGAGTGCTTGGACCACAGGGTAAAGTGGCCAGCTCCCCCTGCACCCAGGCACCCCAGGTCACAGGACACCCACGTGCACAAGCCGGCCTGCAGGCCATGGCAACCATCCCAACGCAGACATCGCTCAGAGGCAGCCTGGGAGCCTGGGCGCAGCTCCCAGCCACACCGCAGTCCTTCCTTACTTCGCAGAAAACACCGGCGAGCTGAGACCTAGGAAGCCCTTCAGCAGACACGGCCTCCAACAGGCAAATCGGGATGATCGAGTCTAATCCAGAGTCCGTCACTCCTGAGCCCCTCTGCCCTTCACATCCAAAATGCTTTCTCACATGCGTCCAAGTCAGACACCAGAGAGGACACCGCTGCCCTGCCCACACCACAGGGGCGAGTAGGAAGGGCACCCTCTGGCCAGAGCACAGCAAAGGGCCAACCTCCCTGGAGGCTGCATGCTCTAAGGCAGCAAGCCCACGGGTGCCTGACAGCCCAGCCTTGTGGACGCTCCAGTTCCCACAGCACCCCATGCCCTGCTGTCATGAGGGGGGCGACTACAGCAGCCTCCGTCTGGCTGCTCGGAACCACGACCAGGTGTTGTCATCCACCACGAGGTGTGCCCAGTCACAGTGGCACAGCCAGAGGGCACAGGTTCAGTTCCTGGCCCCACCTTGACAGGCTGGGCAGCACAGGGGCGTGCACTGTGGTCCAAGCTCACTGGGAGGCCGGCAGATCGCGACACAATGTGTGGCACGACTGTCCCCAATCCCCCCATGGATGTTCCGGCTCGAGCTCTCATTAAAAAGGAAACCAACAGGACCGGCAGGTGCATGGTGATTAGGGCACTGGGTTACCACGTGGCCGGTCTCAGTGTGAGTCTGGACCTGGGAGCGTGAACATCATGTGCGTGTGTGCATGCGTGCCCAAGATTCTGGGAGGAGCGTGGAGAAGGGATTGCGACATGGCTATCCCCCAGTGGGTGATTTCTCACTTTCCCTCTTGCTGTCTCTGTCTCTATCCCCAGCAAACAAGCACATCCAAAGGCAAACCTCTTAAAAAAACCCAGCAGGTGCGTGGTGGTTGAGGCACTGGGTTCCCATGTGGCCTGCCTCAGTGTGAGTCCGGACTAGGGTGCATGAACATCACACTGGGCGTGTGGCGGGTGCCTAACATCCCATGGAAAGAATGGAGGAGCGGGTGGACATCCCTCGGGGGTGCTTTCTCACTGTCGCTCTCTCTCCAGTGAGCGCACACACCCTATTGCAAAAATCAAAACAGAAAGTAAAGTGCCCCAGAGCTAGCAGACACTGTCTGCCTCTGCCGCACCCCTGGCTCCACAGGCGTCTTGTGTGAAGGTCAAGTTATCAACTGTACTCTCCAGGGCACACCTGACCATGTATCGGAGACGCCTGTGCAAAGCCACTGCACACGGGCACACACGTCCCGCAGGGCACCACACACACCGGCCAGCCACACCTAACCTGCCCACTAGCAGAGCAGCTGCATGGACAATGAAACTGAGCTCCAACCCGGGAACTCGAGTGAGAATGTTTCCAAACAGGAGTCCTCGTCACCAGAGTCCATCTTGGAGTGATGACCAGCCCCAACGCCCTGGGACTGGAACGGTCAGAGGAGGAGAATCCAAGGCAAGAGGCAGACAGTGTCGTGGCCCCACTGGAGAGACACATAGCACAGAAGAGAAGGTGACCCTGTGCTAGAAGCTGGGGTGGCAGGACAGGGAGGGGACGATGGGGTTGGGGCCCACACTGCCATGGAGGCACCATGGCCTGGCCAACCGTGGCCTCCCAGTCTTTGTCTACACTAAGACAACCAGGAAAATGAGGACGAGGATGCAAGAGCTGCCCTGTGTCACTGAACATGTTCCACGCCAGGTGAGTGTCTCTGGAACTGTCCTGACCAGTCAAGAGCTTGGATCCCTCCGAGGAGTATGCCAATTAAGCAGCCTGCAGAAAAGTGGACACCTGAACACGCAGAATGAAGGGCCTGCACCGACCCCCACGAGTCCCGGGGCTCCTTGGGTGAAGCAGAGCTTTGGCTGACCACCGACACCTACTCCCGAATAACACCCAAGCTCTAGCTTCTGTATTTCAACTGCAGTGAGGCCACGTTCCCCTCCCTCCAGTTAGAAGTCAAGTCTCAACACCGTCAGTATTAAAGTTGAACAGAAAGTTAAGAAAAATGCTCACACACAACGCTCCACTTAACTTCTTGCCTCTGCCTCTGGCTAAAAGCCCACTGCCCAGGTCAGGATGCCAGATCCCACCCAGAGGGGCAGATCCTCAGAGGAGCCAAGACTTGATGGGTCCAGGTGCCACACTGCAGCATGCCCAGTGCAGTGAAAAGGAGGGCAATGGGGGAGGCCCTAAAAGGCTCGAAGACACGGCTCAGCTGTGGTGTCCCCAGCAGGAGGGCGCTGCTGTGTGGTGGCCAAGGCCACACAAGGGTCCATCCAAACAGGCTGGGCATAGTGCTGCGCGCCTGCAGCCCTGGCTACCTGGAAGGCTGGGGAAAGTGGAGGCCACGCACGGGGAGACGTTCCTTTGTCTTTTCTCCCTGACATTCAAGAAAAACCTAAGATGCTTTACAAAGGCACAGATGAGTGAGAAAATGGAGAGATGGGCTCTCCTCCAACATAAGGGAGGGGCAGAGCCTGACCACATCCTAGACACAGAGATTACACTCTGACGGGCACAAATGACAACATACTCTAATTCCAGCTGGCCCAATACTTTCCAGCCAGGGCGATTCTGTCCCCCAAGGGACAGCTACCAAGCCACTTCTGATTGTCACAACTGGGGTGAGGGTGAGTGAGTAGAGACTAGAGCAAGTGTGAAATACCTACGACGCACACGACCGCCCCAGGCAAAAGCTGCTCCAGTCCAGCGTCCACAGAACAAAGCCGGAGCACCCTGGACACCCTGCAGGGCCAAGGGCAGCTGCCAACCCCGCCAGCCTGGCCTGGCCCTCGAAAACCCAGGCCTGGGGCCAGCAGGTGGCGTGCTGGGTAAGGCTGCTGGACTTCGGTTCAAGTCCTGGACCTCATGGCTTGCTTTCTCACTTTCTCTCTCTCTGTTCCTATCTGGTCAAATTTAAATAAATAGTTAATAAAAAATAATTCTTAAAAAAAAAAAAAGGCCTACATCAGAGACTGCAAGGTGTCATTTTCCCAATGATTCCCTGAGGACTTGATTCAATCTGTCATACCGAAAAGGAAACCAGGGCCCAGCAAAGGTCACATGCTCCAGTGGGGTACAGGGAGCTGCACACCCAGGGCAGGGTCTAGCCTCACATCCCAGCTGCTAGCTGCTCTCATGGGTCACACTCCAGTCACCCAGAGGTCCATGGTGCCCAGAGAACCTGGGGGAAGTGCCCATTGTAGCACGGGCGTGCCACCCCCCACCACCAACGCCAGGACCAACAGAACCCTGTCTGCGCCCCGACCCACCACTCTGCCCGTGCTGCCCAGACTGAGCACTTGCAGCCCCCTCTGCCATTTCTAGCACTGCACCGCCTGCTCCATCGTTACTCAGGGCAGTAAGAAAATGAGGGATTTGATAATAAAGGTATATGCGAAATGTCTCTTATGAACACGCAGACGTGATACATGTACACATACACTCACGCACACGACTTAATTAAAACCAACTTAAATAGAGACCTACATTGATAAAAGCAAACTCACCTGATTTGACTGTCCAGAAAGGTAGGGCTCAAAATCATTGTCGTGCACGGCATCCTTCTGATGCAAAGAGCCGTTTTGTACTAGAACAAGAAGTGGCGAATGTCATCTTCGAGTTTTAATAGATTACTTTGAAGCAGAGAGCTTAAGGTTAGAAATGTCTGTGTTCATCAACTCATAAAAATTCTGCCTTTAATTAAAAACAGGCACCATTAATAGACCTCATATTTACATAAATCATTAGAACGGTGACACAAATCTTTCAGTCTTCGAGTTACTGATTTTAACAAAGTTTCATCGTGACTCAGTAAGATGCTGGCAAACCGAAGCGCAAGAGAGAAGCTAGGACCGGGACCAGGCTGTGGTGAAATCCCCACCATCTGGGAAGACCTCCACTGGCGAACAGCCGCTGGCGAACAGCAGCAAGCCCGCGAGGCCAGGCGGCAGCACCGGGAAGCCTGTGCTGTCGCGGCTCCCACCACCCCTCCCCACTGCTCTCCCAGCTCGGTGGAAAACCCAAGGCCGGAGGAGCGGGCTGGCGCCCCCACACGCTTACAGCGTCTCCAGCAGCGTGCCACAGGGTTCCCGGTCACACGGGCGGAGCGGTCCCAGGGGCCACAAGCGGCTCAGGGAACGAGGGCTGGACGTCGCCCTGCCGGGCCGGCAGCTGCCCACCCGCCAGGCCGGCCTGGTCCTGGGCAATGCCCAGCGCCGCCTCCCTGCCCCAAACCGACGGTCGGGGCCGGGGCCGGGCTGCAGGGCCTCCGAGCCCCCGTAGCTACTTCTGGGAAGTGCCTAGGACCTGTCAGATCTCCCGGAAACGTTGCCCGCCCGGCGCTCTCCCCAAGCTGCGCAGGAAAGCAGTCTCCGGTCCAGTCGCAGCTTCAGCTTCGCAGGCCCGGCCGTGCCCACGCGCCGCCCCGTCCCCGCCGCCCGCAGGCCGCCCCCGG